CTCCGTTCGCCATGCGGAAGCTACCTGAGAAATATTAAGTGCGCATGCTCATCAGTTAAACTCGTGGTGAAGAAAGCATGGCAGCTGAAGGCGATCGAAGGAAAAAAGCTCTTCTGTTCTATTATCTTTGAAAACAGAGACGAAAAAGGAATAATTTGGCCCGTAGAGCAGCAATGAATCGACTATCTACGGAGATAATATCACCAGAGATATTCACGGAAATATTAATGTTCGGAGCCGAGATTTAATTACTGTACCCCGCAGGGACGACGTGTGGGGAGGCGTGTGAGAGGCGGAGAGACTATTAAAAGATTAGGCGGTTTTTCTTTCATGTACGTCCGCCATTTTTAGGTCACCGGCTTTGTAAAGCCTGGCTTAATTCGTTGAGAATGCGCTCTAAGATAAAGAAGCAGCCAGGGGGTGTGTGGATGATGATGTCAAACAGTCAAACATTACATATAACTAGCATTCAGTTTTAGTACTGTACCTATACAGCATGAGATCTGTGTGTGTGTGTGTGTGTGTGTATGAGTGTGTGTGTGTGCATGTGTGTAAAAGGAGAGAGAGAGTGAGAGAGAGAGAAGAGAGAGAGGGAGAGAGAAAGGATAAAAGTTAAATTACACTTACATTTTCAGTAGTAACAAAAACAAGACAAAAATTTCATTCACCTGAAAGGTGTATTCTTTTCTTCCTCCAATGTAATCACAGAAACTTCACTTGAATTGTCCTAGATGAGAAAAAGTAAAAACAAACAAAATACTAATACTAATAATAATAATAATAATACATTTATAACAATAAAACAAAATGTAATAAAAAAGGTTTAACCATGTTCTATTTAGTCTACAGTAAGTATACAAACTTATAGCACCTTAAAATATCTACAGTACCAGTGTAATCAGAAAATTAGTAGAAGACAGATGAAACAGATGGAAGTGACAGGGGGGAAAACCTTTAAATATCCCCCTTTTTGGAAAATTACATAAAAAATTCTGAAACTTTCGAAATTTTCTTTTACTCTGAGCAAAGCACCTACCATATGTAATAATGGTATGTCAGGGCTTTCTCCGTGAAGTAGGTCAAGGTCAAGGGTGATATCAAGGTCAGATGGCGTGATACCAGCACCTGATCCACACCATATGCTGGCCTTCTCCACAGTCTGGCTTTCTTTCTTACGTCCAATAAAATGTCCACCCATGTCCAGAGACTGGTCAGTAGACACCTGACCCATCACTTCTCCTCCAGCAAGGATGGCCACACCCAAAGTGCAAGGCCAGGAGTTGTTCTCACTTTCATTTTCATTAAAGAGTGCAATGTTTCTATCTGTTACAGCCTGGTCATCAGTATTTAAACTACTTTTAATTACACTGTTAGAGGTTGCATTTGGTACTTTATCTACATCACTACCACCAATCACATTCCCCAAGACCCTACTGCTATTTCTGCTCCGTGAATGGTTAACATCTGCTCCTAGCACTGACATCTGAGCTGAATCTCTTTGTTGCATGGAAGTTCTGGGCATGATGTCTTCCTTATGTGTACTAACAGGTCTTGGAGCACACATTCTAAATAGCTGCACTATGACCAGGTTCACTGGGAACATCAGCAGCCCACTCTCAATACCAATTATTATGTCAGACAGAGAAAATTGGAAATCTGCCACCTGGAATTGAATTTCCCTTATATAAATTCTTAAAATCATACTGGAAGAAATGATGAAAGAAATGAATTTCCTAAACCAATAATAAGAGTCTTTCCAATCAAAACCGCACCTAATAAAATGTTACAACTAATCAAACATTTTAAGCAAACATTTTCTAAAGCAACTGCAACAATGACAGAATCTTTTCATT